AAGCTTTCATTCAATTTAGAATTGAGACACCACCGATGACTTTTGCTTTCAGCCTAAATCCTGAAAGCTTTTTAACTATCAAACTAGCAATGTCTCTTAATTTTTTATAAGAACCAAGGTTATCTACACCAGCAAAAGCATGGGTGTTGAGTAGCTTCAAACACACTTCCCCCAAGCCTTTTAATGAATAAATTTCTTTATCCTTACTAACCACATTAGCAATCGCCGATGCAACTGTATTCATCTGGGTAGTTAGCAAAATTTTACTTCTCAAACCTCCGTAAACTAGAGGGCAGAGTACATTCTCCCATTTGTTCATATCTTCCTCCCAAATGTCATCCAGAACAAGCAAGAATCTTTTCGATTGCACGGTAGCTTTAAGACTCTCTTGAAAGGCAATGATCTTTTTTGCATCAAAGTCGTTCGAAACACAAACCCACATACTCAGGTCAAATTCTTCTTTCAGATCTTCATAGATGTGTTGCAAGAGAGTTGTCTTGCCCATGCCACCATGACCCATTATAGATAGAAAATGTTTTTGTACAAAGTAGAGCTAGTAATATGAGTTGGATCTTCATTTGTTGGCCTCCTCAACCAGTGCATAACAAAATCCTTATCCTTGCCTCGGCTGATGAGATTAGTTTTAGGCAAGGATCCTGTTTCACGAGCTTTGCACAACTGAAGCTCCTGCCCCTGTTGCTCCTGCTTTGCGTTTTCTAAGAGATGAAGGAAAGTCGTGACCTCAGCTGAAACTTTATCAAGTTTCTTCACAACTACCTCCAGTCCCTCCAAGTTGGGATCCTTTTGTTGAGGTGGAGTTTGTTGAGGTGGAGCCCGGTTTAAGAAAATCAATTTTTTTTTAATGTTTGTCGCCTCTTTCAACCGTTCCCGCCTCCCATTCTTTGGAAGAGGCGTGACTTTTGCTTGGTTGGCCCCACCACCATAAATGCAAGCAAATGAGGAGAATTAATAATCCTTTTTCTGCTATTGAATTTCTGCTTTTGGAAACCGAACTCCAAGGCTTCTTCCTCTAATTCGGTTCCTGTGTAAAGCTTACGGGAAAAAACGCTACAGTGAAGGGGGCGGCAACGAGAAGGACTGCTTCGGTTGTTCTACTCACGGGAAGAAGAGAGGAAGGCTTACTGAGAGAATACCATCTCCTTTTTTTCTTCTGGCTTGGCGTGAGACTTAGGTAAAGAAGACAAAAGCGGAGAGAATAAAAGGTTTTTATTCTTGTTTCATTACTCTTCTTCACTACGTAGGAGAAGCCCGAGGCGAAAGAAACAGACGGCGTCGAGAAAGAAACAACAGTGAAGGAATACATCGAATTTGTAATTCCTTGAAATTGAAATAAGCGTTTCTTGTAAATTGAAACATTGTGGTGTAAATTCCTCGAGTAGTAAAATCCTCTGCAACTCCGTGGATGTAGGCAATTTGCCGAACCACATAAATCTCTGTGTTTTTTTGTGTGAATTTTCTCGTGCTATTTTTTACAGCACATTCAGGTCAGGTATCACTTCATACGATTATTGTTGGATGACGGACAGTTGATGCTTGAGAAAATTTGTGGAAGCCAGAACCCTGCTGATATGTTGACAAAGGGTGTTACTCTGGAAAAACTGAAGTTGTGCGCAGCTTCAGTTGGTCTTCTAGCTTGAAGACATGGGCTTTGAGTTGCAGAGGTGGAGGATTCATGTTTGAAGGATGACACCGTCAGTTGAGGATATCAGTTTCAGGAAGAAGACGTTGTAGTCTGTGTACCGGTCTCCAAGTGAGAGATTTGTTGAGGTGGAGCTCGGTTTAAGAAAATCAATTTTTTTTTAATGTTTGTCGCCTCTTTCAACCGTTCCTGCCTCCCATTCTTTGGAAGAGGCGTGACTTTTGCTTGGTTGGCCCCACCATCATAAATGCAAGCAAATGAGGAGAATTAATAATCCTTTTTCTGCTATTGAATTTCTGCTTTTGGAAACCGAACTCCAAGGCTTCTTCCTCTAATTCGGTTCCTGTGTAAAGCTTACGGGAAAAAACGCTACAGTGAAGGGGGCGGCAACGAGAAGGACTGCTTCGGTTCTTCGGCTGTTCTACTCACGGGAGGAAGGCTTACTGAGAGAATACCATCTCCTTTTTT